TTTCCTGGCAATATAGTGCCCCCACCCTCAGGGTCCCCCTCCTACTGGGCTCTGGGGAGAGGAAGGGGTTAAACTTACCTCTTTCTCCAGCGCCGGGCGCTCTCCTCCTCAGCTGAATGCACATGCACGGCAGGAGCTGCGCGCACAGCCAGTCCATAGGAAAGCATTCACAATGCTTTCCCATGGACGCTGGCGTCTTCTCACTGTGAAAAGTGCGGAAGCCCACTAGAGGCTGGATTAACCCTAATATAAACATAGCAGTTTATGTGAAACTGCTATGTTTATAAAAAAAAAAGGGTTAACCCTAGCTGGACCTGCCAGGAAAACAAACCATTAAGTTGAAGTGGTCTGGGTGCCTATAGTGGTCCTTTAAGGGGCAGAACCCGAATAGACCACATGTAACCCACCTACACAGGACGACACACGAAGGGTAGACCAATACCTATCCCTAGATCATTATCTGGAGGGTGGCCTTGACTGGCCTGAAGTACGGTTTATGCGGTTAAACTGAACCATTACAATGTTAAAACTTGCACCTTGTGATATTGCATTGTTATTGACGGTTTCTGTGTCATGAGTAACATAGTGCAAAAAAATATCAAGTAAGTGAAGGCGCTAGTGGATAATTACAAGTGAAAATGAAAATACCATAAAAGGCAGGCAGCACTAATTAAGTGTAAAATAGCTCAATAAAACACTCTGTATATCAATAGAAAAACCTCTGAGCGTTTTGAAAATATGTTCTTTGCTTGTTCACTATAAGAATCATGCCTAGCTATTTTGAATATTGTTATTTTAATTTTGGTTTAACCTTGAATTATGCTGGATTATGTAGGAATGTGTGTGCAAATATTCGATACATATCCAGAGACGTTTAGGCGATATGTCTTTCAAAGTTTTTTATAATAAGACTCATTAAGGACTGTCTGAATTAAAACCAATAATCACAAATGCTGCCAATAACAAATCAATGGAATGGATATAAATTTACATAGAGACCAGACCCAGAAACGTGATCCAAAGACGCCATCCAGGAGAAACGCGTCATCACACTGTCAGACGTACGACGTACCGAGTGAGCCTGTATCCTTCGGTAGCCTTGTGCCGTGTTCCAGTGCCTGAACATACTGCAGAAGTTCAACAAGGGTCAATAAGGACAGAGCCAACGTGATTTTTATTGTATGCTGCTAATAACTTCTACTGCTCCACTTTTGTGAGTTGATTGGTTTATTTTTAAACCATTTTTGCGCTATTTTGTCAGTTTTACACTATGTATATTTTTCTTTCTTTTTATTTCCCCTGTTTTACCTCCCGAGTCATTCAGCATCTGGGAAGACATATGTCCCCTTTTTAAAAGTTGTCTATGTAAGCGTTTTATATATTTTGCACTTTATTGTATCACTTGGTCACTTTGTTAATACACTATATAGTGTATAAAGATAATTTAGATAGGTAGTACTTCCTAATTAGGCAACCTAACTGGTAGTACCAAAGAAAAAGAGTAAATGGGGTGGCGAAAGGGCATAACCCTATAATAAACGCAAAAGGAGAAATAAAGGAATGAAGGATTGATCGCCTCGTGAAAAAACGGGCTGATCACCTCCAAGCCACCCCAAAATAACGTCTCAAAAATAAACAATTTTATTGGGACAAACCTGATTAAAAGCAAAAAAGAAAGCACCTGTCAATGGGTGAATAACTATAGCTGCAGAGTGTAGCTAAATTGCCCATGTATAAATGTAACAAACTCTTATGTAGTAAAGTGATAAGTAACAATACATGCAACAATAATAGCCATAAATCCTGCCGCTATACCTACAGGGTTATACTGCAAATGGAAATCGAAAGGATAGAGAAGGGCATAAAAGAGGAGAAGGAAAATAAAGCAGAAGGACCTAGTTAGTGGTCTAAATAGAAAAGGCTAGGTCTAATTGCATAAGCCCAATGAACAGCCCAACTACCCCTATATAAGGTATCCAGAGCTAAAAACCGCTCAGTGCCATTAACCACAATGTAGGAAAAAAGAAAAAAAAGGAAATCAACTAAATTCAATACATGGACAGCCCAACGCGCGTTTCGGTGGATTAACCACCTTTTAAAATTGTTTATTATTTTTGAGACGTTATTTTGGGGTGGGTTGGAGGTGATCAGCCTGTTTTTTCACGAGGCGATTAATCCTTCATTCCTTTATTTCTCCTTTAGTGTATAAAGATGTTACACTTGTAAAACATTTTTGTATAAGTATATGCACATCAATGTATGCACAAATCACTTAAAGGAACAGCACACTTTTTTCTTTTCACGAGTAACATAAGCTTGGATCCAACCCGGCCTGAAGGGTCATGTTAGCGTGTCATGCTCAGATATTACTTACTTTGCAAATTACCTCTAACTCATGAAGAAGGTTTCCTCACCATAGCGATACTTGTGGAGGGGAATAGCAATATCCAAATGGATCAGCGCTGCCATAAAAAAAAGGCATGAAGTCTGGTGTGAATGTACACAAGGTTTAAAAGTGCTACTGAGGGAAGAAACATGCGCAGAGTTTTAAAGTATTTATCCCATGGGCTTTATGCCCTCAATGAGATTTGCACAGTGTGTCTAAAGACGTTCTCATACTGACCTTTATTGGAGACTTGTGTCACCAGAAGAGGAACATCCAAGAACAGTGGGACATGAACCTGAAATCTAGACTCTGTGGAGGCAACGGTCTATTAAGGGAGCACTCCACCCCTTAATCGCTTTATTTATGAAGTATATGTCAGTTTTATTATTTTTTTTAATTTTACCCCAAAAAAATAAATAAAAATCCAATTTTAATCGAAATTGACACCTTTATAAATTAACCTGGTTACATCCCCCACAGCTGTCACACAACTGGTTCTGTTACTTCCTTGTTTGGTGAGCTCAGTGGAGGCAGCAATTCCCCAGAGCACCTGCCTTGCAAAGACTCATTGACCTGCATTAAGAAGCCTGTGATTGGACAGCTACAGAAAGTCTGGGCAGGGTTAATAGACAAGGGCTTGCAAAGTCTGTAGACAAGTGAACTGCAGATTTTTTTTAATTTGAGATATACCCCCAATGGAAAATGCATAATTACACACATACATGTTTAAATTAGTTATAAGTACTAAATTGTTAAAAAAATGCTACCGAACTACAACTCCCATGATTCTTTGAATGAAATAGATAGCCAGAGAATCATGGGTGTTGTAGTTCAGAGATTATTAATCAAGATGATCTCAACCAATCACATGTTTCTCAATCGGGAAGCATTAGAAAGCTAGTGCACATGCTCAGCAAAATGCCACGATAACCCCCACCAAATGCTCTTCATATGAAGCATTTGTTAGAATAACCAAGTTGAACATAATTTTTCAGAGGAAGTGCCTCTAATGGCTGCTAAGAAAAACATTGGCGATTCTCTAAAACAGCAATGTTTCCTGTTAAAATTACAGGGCCACCTACACCTAGACCACTGCATAGAGACGGAGTGGTCTGGTACTTTAACAGTGCATGTTAAGTGGACTCTACAGTGCCAGGAAAACAAATCGTTTTCCTGGCACTGCAGGTCCCCTCTCCCTCCCACCCCACATCCAGGTTACTGAAGGGGTTAAAACCCCTTCAGTGACTTACCTGTATCTAGCATGTGCATTAGACCTCCCCATAGGAAAGCATTGAAAATTCTTTCAAATGGGGATTTCAGCGACGCTGGAGGTACTCGCACAGCGTGAGGGCGTCCAGCGACGCTCTAGCACAGGAAACCTGTGCTATGTAGCAGGATGTGTCCTTTAGTGGCTGTCTACTAGAGGAGTTAACCCTGCAAGGTAATTATTACAGTTGCAGGGTTAAGGTTAGTGGGAGTTGGCACCCAGACCATTCCAATGGGCAGAAGTGGTCTGGGTGCCTGGAGTGTCCCTGGCCACCCACAGGCGGATACAAGTCTTGGATTACACACTTCCTTGTAGCCATACCAACTCATACCAGCAATGGGCGCTGCGGTTGGCTGAAAGCAGTCAGCTGACACCCTCAGCCTTTCGCTGTTGATCAGGAAAATGATCCCTCAATGGCTGAGAAGCTGCTGGGAATACTGGATTAGCAGTAAAACATTTAAAGGGTTATTAAGGAACACTAAATTAAATATAATAATAATAATAATAATAAACCTGCTGTGACTGAGAGCAAAGCAAAATACAATCCAAAAGCATTATCCCTCCAGCCTGCAGGATCATAATCACCATAGCAACCAGGAACATGGAGACGTTACCACGCGCTCCAGAGTTTAAAGAGCTCGCCACGCCCCTCAGCCAATCAGAGCCTCCGCGTGGTTCGAAATTACCCTCGCGCGCTCGCCCTGTAGCAGCGCGTGCTTGCCATTCCGACAGTCCTCAAATGACCCTGTCACGACCTCCCCCCTCACCCACGGCGAACTGCCTGATTGGCTGGCACACGTGACCTCACCGCGCACGACGTTTCACGCCCACTCTGCCCTTGCCAGCCAATCATTGTGTGCAAATCGTGTTCAAATAAAATACGCGCTGCTCCGAGGACTTCTGGGTAAAAAAAAGGGCGGGGTTAAGTGGCGCATGGTCTCTCATTGGCTGGTCAAACCAGAGACGTCCATGTTTAGTATGGGCAAGCTCAGGGAAAGGCAGACTTAGCCACACTATCTCTTAATTATTTTTACAAAAACACAAGCGCAGGGCTCTGTCACCCATGAAACCCCTCTGACAGACCTGTTACCACACTGCTTCTCGAAAGCAATAACACTCCCGTGTGCGTGACCATGTGACGCAGCCACGTTATCCGACGTCCGTTTCCAAGGGAACCTTAGGTGTCCATTGATTGGCCGGTCTTATTAGTGAGTACTTCGAGCTGATTGGCTGGGTGCGCGCTGTGGGCGGAGCCCTGGCCAGGCACTGAATGGAGTGCTCTGAGAATGTGGGCGTGGTTAACCCAGAGAGGGGAATTGTTGGCCCCCTCCTCGCTGCACATCTCAGGCTGAAACCCGGGGCAGGCGGCTGCTCCTCCTCACTGCTCCACCACCATCACCACCTACCTCAACCACCCACCTACCGGCCGCCATGAAGGGAGGAGAGGGTAAGTGTCACTGTGCTCACCGCTTACAGCAAGAAAAGTATGTGAACCCTTTGGAATGATATGGATTTCTGCACAAATTGGTCATAAAATGTGATCTGATCATCATCTAAGTCACAACAATAGACAACCACAGTCTGCTTAAACTAATAACACACAAAGAATGAAATGTTGCCATGTTTTTATTGAACACACCATGTAAACATTCACAGTGCAGGTGGAAAAAGTATGTGAACCCTTGGGAATGATATGGATTTCTGCACAAATTGGTGATAGAAGTAAATCAACAACAGAATGGCTTAAACAGAAGAAAATACGCCTTCTGAAGTGGCCCAGGCAGAGTCCTGACCTCAACCCAATTGAGATGCTGTGGCATGACCTCAAGAAAGCGATTCACACCAGACATCCCAAGAATATTGCGGAACTGAAACAGTTCTGTAAAGAGGAATGGTCAAGAATTACTCCTGACCGTTGTGCACGTCTGATCTGCAACTACAGGAAACGTTTGGTTGAAGTTATTGCTGCCAAAGGAGGTTCAACCAGTTATTAAATCCAAGGGTTCACATACTTTTTCCACCTGCACTGCGAATGTTTACATGGTGTGTTCAATAAAAACATGGCTACTGTAATGTTACTGTAAGGGAACAGACATACAGCTAATAGGAATAATGTTACTGTCAGGGAACAGACCTGGGGGGTGTCTGCTATCACAGGGGAGAATAATAATAATATATAGAATATTACTGTAATAAATCACTATCAGAGCTCAGACATGAGGGCAACAGCTACTGTCTACTAACGGGGGATAATAGAATATTACTGTAATATATCACTATAAGAGCTCAGACATGGGGGCAACAGCTACTGTCTGCTATCACAGGGGGGCACTAATAATAGAATATTATTGTAATCTATTAATGTTTGCATGTGGTTTATACAGAGATTGACAGTTTCAGTGATTCACTGTGTGTGTGTGTATATATATGTATATATAATTATTGCATAGTGTTTATATATGTAGTGATTCCCTGTTTAGATGGAGTCTGTCCCATTTAAACTTGTTGTTTATCCTTTGAACTGCTCTGAATTCTAAATGTGATGTATTTTCACTGTGTTTTTTAATATAAATTGTTTTGATTAGGGTTGTTGGAATAGTAACTCATACAGCTTTATTACATGGTTATTTCTTGTGTAAATCAGTGAAGTTTTCTAATAACTCAGTTTTGGGACAAGTGATTTTGTTTTTAAATTACAATCTATATAAATGTGTTGCCTGTCTATATCCTTTATTCACACTGATGTACTATAGGTATGCAGGGCTTGGCATTGAGAGGGATCTCCTGCTGTGAGCATTTGTATGCCCCACTGCACTGATCCTCCACTTCCTGCTCTGCTGATTTTTAAATCTCCCTCCAAAGTTTGCATCGAGTTGGAGGAGGGGCGTCCTCACTAAACTATTTAATTCTTTGAATAAATAAATGTTTCTACACGCACAGATTACTATTCAGTGTATTTAATTTGTTTTCTAGAGCTACCCATAACAAGTTGTAGTTCTACTTTGATCCATAATATGGGTACCCCCCATTTTAGGATCTGTGACCCCCATGAATTTTGGGGTGATACCAGGACAGGGTGCTGAATGATTGATAGTGGACATAGATGGCAAGTGAGAAGTTAAATGGATTTTGATATGATTGTATGGAATGTATTAACAGCGTTTTAGCAAGCAATAAAAGTATCAATGAATCACTTTTTTGTAGGACTGTATTAGTCTGTTTTGATATATTTGCATTGTCATTAAATATGGGCATTTAAGAAAATAAACCTGTAGTTTTATTGTATCTTATTTTCTGTTATTTTATTGAAATAAGATTATTTTATTGAATTTTTAACAGAACTGTGTTAGGCATAGAAATCACATGTCTGTTGGCATTGTCTGTAATATTCATGAATAATGATTCCATGCATTTACTGTTAAAAGCTTCCTGCTGACTGATCATGGTGGAGTAGGTTAATTGATTAGTGTGTATTTGGGACTGCTAATGATTTGTGCAGGGCGGGTTTTATTTCAAAAATAACTATTGCCAGCCAGTAACTGGTGGTGAGTGGGAGGGGACACAGCAGTCTGGTCTGCTTGAGCAATGCTTCTATCCTGGAGGGCATCTGAGGAGTTAATTGTGCTGCAAAGGCAGATTTTGTAGGTTTTAAACATCTTGCTACATATATACTGCCCTTTTGCTACATATATACTGCTATATATTTTTTTTATTTTTTTTTATTGAACCAATGGCATTGTGTTTACTCTGCTCAACCAAAAAAAAACACTTTAGAAAAATTAAATTATAGAAGTTCCTCTTTTTATTTTTGTTTTTATTTTGTTAATCCATATGTGTAAGAACAACATGATTGTATTCATATTCAATAGGAAATCTATCATTTACATTTATTTATTAATATTTTATGCTTGTAATGCACATGATCAACAGGTAGAAGATTAATTGGCTCAGCTGCCCATCTGTTAGATTGTAGTCCCAATTGTTCTGGCTGGCAGACAAGTATGATAAATGTATTCGTATTTATAAAGGTCTATCATAGCTGCATGTTATTTGGAGTTCTCATATTCATATTGCAGGATGAATGGGCGACGTTTTTGCTCATTTAAAAGTATACATCTGTAAACCATTTAAAATGGAGCTGTGCCTTGTGCTAGCAGAGGTTTAGAACATATTCCTTGACTTGTACCCAGCTGACAGTGAACTAAAACTTCTGGGCCACCTTTGACTTACAGCATGTACTCAGAGCTTGCATCAATTCATCCCAATGGTCTGATCAGGACATCCATATGTGTTCGCATTATACTGTTACTACACCAAAAAAGTCATTATTAAGCATTATTATTATTGCCATTTATATAGCGCCAACAGATTCCGTAGCGCTTGGCATGTGTGGTGTAATACTCCTAACACTCATCCAGCAATGTTAAATGTATCAAATTCATGGACATTTTATCTGCTTTTAACACATTTCATATGCTGTCAGGCGCATTCATGTGAAAATCCTCACTCCTGGAATAATTCATTGAAATTAACATTGGATTACTCATGAGGAAATTCATAAAATGTCACTCATCAGGGAACAATTCTGTGCTAATGTTATCCTGTTTCTTAACCCCACCAGCAAAACATATCATTTAACACTTGGTGTGTTAGACATAGCTAAATTATAATAGGCAGCTATATTACTACAAGTCCCATGGAGCTCTAGAATTTGCTGCCAGACTGTAATGGACAGAAACGAAGGAGGTCTAGGTTGGTAGCCATGTATACCCGTAGAGGAGTGTGTATTACAAGGTAGAGTCTTGTGTCCCACTTGAGCTTGCTAGATGTTTTTCTGACAACTCCCATAACTCTCAGCCCAGACTGGAACGTTAACCTATGTATATCTCCATGTTTTCTTGCATATTTGTAAAATAGACGACTTTCCTCCTCTTAACTGTAACCCCTATGTATTCAGCTAGAGTAACTATTTCCTGCTTGTCTTATTTATGTTTCGTGTCTATTTTCCCCACAGCCTTGCACTGTCGATGCTCTAAATGTTTTACTGGCCCTCCCAAGCGTCGGGTGAAAAGACGCCCACGGTTGCTGACCCTTCTCAGCCTCCCAGAAGACGTCCTACTTTATATCCTGGAGTGCCTACCTGCCGTGGACATCCTTTCCATGCGAGATGTAAGCGTTTGTGTTGTTGATTATTTGTACATGTCGATTCCTTATTAATGGCCATTTATTTACATGTAATTGCTATGTAAGTAAGCGTACAGTCTTCTGGTCGGTGAGCGATATCTGTAGTGTCATTTTTCATGATCCCGTAATGAACTGCAAACATTCCTTTATTATTATTATTATTTTTTTTGTTGTACACCTGTCTCCTTTGTTATATCCCACTGTAGGTGTGTGTGTGTGTGTGTGTGTGTGTGTGTGTGTGTGTATATATATTTTTATTCAAAGGCTAAAGATAGTTCTTATTTTTATTTTAGGTGCATCCTCAACTAAGATCTCTGGTGGATAATCACAGCAGCGTTTGGGCCCGTACTGGTTTTCAAGATGTATGGCCTTCCCCAGAAAACTTGCATCTCTTTGAAAGGTATACTTCAGAAAAAAATGGATCAGGAGGTGTTAGGATAAAGCTATTGTTTGGTGGGATTAAATATTATGTAAGGAAATATCTAACCCACCATCCTTTCAGTGGGGCAGTAAACCTCCTGTAGATGTGACTGGGGTGCTGACTTCACAGTAGCACGAGTGTTTGATACACAGGGGGTTTGTGCATGAAAGGAGATAAGGAAGAACATGGGGGAATAGAAGAATATTGGACATCTGGCATAATCCAGTGGCAGTTTATTGGGCTGTCACATTGCTAAGCTTACTTGCCGATTTAGTAGTTTAAACCTTCCCACGTTTGGTTTAAAATCTTATAACAAAAGTAGTCCTAACTTTTTGCAGTTTTTTTGGGGGGAAAACAAACAAACCGTATTATTTAAATAATGGATTTATCTTAATTTCAGGTCCTGAATAATTTCAGGTCCTGGTATGACCATAACTGTACCATGTCCACTATATATTTTTTTTTTTTAAATGAATATTTTTCTAACTTTCTTTTATTTCACTCTGACCAGGGCGGCAGAATGCGGGAATTTTGAAGCATGTGTAAAGCTGGGAATTGCTTACTTGTATAATGAGGGATGTAAGTAAAAACCTCTTATTCTTCTGAGTTTTTTTTATATTATCTCCCTCCCCCCCCACCCCCCAATATGTGCAATATGTTGCATTCTCACAGCTGTATGTCTTCTGTGTTACTTTGTATCCTTCAAGTAGCTTCTACTGCTGTTTTCTACCATTTCCTCATTATAAAAAAATTAATTATATATATATATATATATATATATATATATATAATTTATTTTTTTTCTCGCTCATTGTGTACACTCGACTAGATTCTTGCGCTCTTGTAAAACTTTCCAACTATGCCCACTTTTGTGACCTCATGCATGTGGTGGCATAAATGAAAATGATGCAGCTGCTAACTGCTTTATGTGCCAACTCTCAAGATGGAGGCACGCAATGGAATCAGACTTGTTACCATGGCAAGGTCTTGCAAAGACCCCACAAGTGACAGTGCTTCATTAAAATGACATTAAAGTACCATAACTACAATGGCATACTGTAACAGTTATAATTCTTGGTGGCTTTTTGAGTTTGAGTTTTGCAAAAAAGTTATAATTTGGAAGTTTTACTACTTGATGATCGGTTCAAATATCTGTATGGTATGCCTCTGCATATTGTGTGACTGTGAGCCCTGGGGTATAGGAGGATTCGGCTGAATTAAATCCTCCCAACCTATTTCGACATAACTGTAATGTCTTGACTTTCTATACGATTTGAATAATTGTTAAAAACATTTAATGGCACAGAGTTGAAACAGACGGCTTCTGTTGGTGCCATGGGTAACTTTTCTCATACCCAAATGTGTGTGTGTTTTTTTTTGTTTGCTTGCTTAACATTTGACAGCGAACGTATCACCTTCATATCTAGTGGTAAGAAATTCCCTTGATGTCATGACACAACACAGGTATATGGGGATTAAATGGCTAGATTCTTGACAGTCTTCTCTAATTTTATGCAGTATCCATGTCAGATGATGGACGGGCTGAAGTGAATGGACTAAAGGCCTCACGTTTCTTCAGCCTGACAGAGCGTCTAAACATTGGAGCAGACCCCTTCATCTGGCTGTTCATTCGCCCACCTTGGTCGACCTCTGGAAGTTGCTGCAAAGCTGTGGTGTTTGATAGCTTGAAGGAGGAGTGTGCTGCTGCTGTAACTCCTGGTGAAGGGTTAAAAAAGGTGAGCAGCACAGAATTCTAAAATATCTCGAAGTTCTGTCTGAAAGCATTGGAAAATAATTAGGTGACTCAAGATTGTTTCCAAATGTGGTGTCCTATTGCATCAGGGTCTGACAAACGCCTAGCAGAGAAGGCTCTCAGTCACATGCTGGTTTAATTTAAATGTTGTAATCTTATTAGAACTGCCAACCTAACAATTGGGTCTACATTTTAAGTAGCAATCTTATTGAGATCTTTGAGTGTTCTTAGAAGAATTACTGTTAAATCTCACCCATTAAACACCTTATTTTCCCCTACACCCCAGTTGCTGTCCTTCACCTGGCAGAGAAGACATTCATATTTCCTCAAAAGGCTTCATTTACATGAAACCAAAAAAATTAAACTGCTTCTTTTATGCCATTATTTCTCGCTGAATAGGAGCATGTATGTCAACTGCCCTCTCACCAGGGAGCGATCAGGGCATTATTGCAGACAGCAGTAGCTTTCATAGTAAAGGTGCTTGGCTTCCATCAGGTAGCTGTACTTACTGTATATGGGCATATATTTATTATGTGTTGAGTTGCTTGCTTCTCTGTTCCACACTGCATTAATCTCTGATATGCTCCTTATGATTTCTGCTAACGCTAATATTCTCTTTTTTTGAAGGGTCTCCGGGGTTCTATCCAGTATTGTTTGGCAAAAGTTCTAAGCTTATTTGAGGTAAGAAATCATTTCTCTTCTGTAAATGTGCCAACACTGGGACTTCTTTAAACTTACATAATCTGTACTATTCCATGTTTTCTTGGCATTACAAATGCCTCTGGGGGATAAAAACGAGAAACTGGTTCCTGGTTCCTAGATGCATTGTACTTTCAAATGTTTTTTTGTTTCTACTTTATTTGAATTAACCTTTCATGCTTCCAATGCATATTTAGTAACATTAAAGGACCACTATAGTCACCCAGACCACTTCAGTTCAATGAAGTGGTCTGGGTGCCAGGTACCCCAGGTTTTAACCCTGCAGCTGAAACTGCTATGTTAACATTAGGGTTAATCCAGCCTCTAGTGACTGTCTTCCTGACACTCGATGCGAAAATTGCATAGGGCACGCAGAACGTTGATAGGAAAGCATTGAGAAATGCTTTCCTATGGGCGTTTTTTAATGCACGGCTCTGGCCGCGCATGCGCATTCTGCTCCACTCAACGTCGGAGGGGGAGGAGAGGTCACCAGTGCTGGATTAAGGTAAGGGGCTGAAGGGGTGCCCTGAGGGTTGGGGGGGACCTAAGGACTATATAGTGCCAGGAAAAAAAGTTTGTTTTCCTGACACTACGGTGACCCTCTAAGTTATTGACTGGGCATTTATTTGTTTATGGTTAATCCTAATGAATGTCCAGCTTTGCGGTTTTGTTTTGATTAGTTGTGATATTAGGCACCTGCCATCTTGATTGCATGCTTTAGGCAAAAGGACAGAGCTGGATAAAACGCTTGCTGAGTGGAGGAAAATTCTTCCAATTTTGTTATTTTATCCTAAAATATGCTGTTTTCTTGTCAGATTCACAATTCCCAGTTTAGTGTTTTTTTTGTTTTTTTTATTATTTATTTTTAACGTGTTTGTCGTGTGCTGGTAATCCTGATTAACTCATTCTGTGTCTCAGTGCACACACCCAGTGTAACTCCACTTTTTTCTATGATCTTTTCTTTCAGGATGATGATCGTAAGAATGGTGCTCTAAAAATGCTTGAAGTTTCAGCCTCTCTTGGCTGCCTAAACAGCTCCTACCTCCTATGGGAAACCAATCAGAAAAACGCTGTGAGTGGTAATTTTGTGGTGTAACATACCGATGACCCCTCTCTAGAACCCCATCCCCTGTAAATTTCTTCATATCTGTAGGAAATCTTGTGATTGAAATATGTTTGAAAATGACTGTTAAATATCTGTTGGTTACATGACGGACACCATGTGGCGCACTGCATGGGATGATGCTGATATCAGTCACATAAGCACTCCAAGCACCATAATCACTGTAGCATTTTGTAGTTGTTATGGTGCCAGGAGCATCCTGGTGCCATCTCATTGTAAGATGCTAAAACTGCTTGGCAGTTTACTAATGTCCTATTGGGCATCTAAATAATGTCCAGTGTTCTCCAGCAGGGGGAGCCAGATGTTGCTGTTGAGAGCAGTTGGCTGACAGCATCATCTCAGTGCTCCCAGCCAGTTAGTGCTGTCCTGCGTCAGCTCACTGTGAACTATAGGGCAATGTAGCTTCTCTTGCTGGATGTGGTACAGGTGCCCAGCAGGACCCTGGTACGTTTTTAAACAGTGGTGAAATGGTATAACGTCTAGGACAACTAAGTGTTGTGTTAAATGTGAGCTAATCCCTGCTCAATGTCTGCATTCTAACTGGAGGTTGTTGAGCCATGTCAAAATCCAGGATTTACAATGGGTTGCTTTCCAACTAATGCTATAGAACTCCCATTGCACATTTCCTGCCAGTGACTGACTGGGAATCATAATCCTGTAACTAAAGTAATTTTATACGAACTTTTATTTTCCCCCTCTTAGTTATTGGATCCTGGTAGATATCTGCAGAGTATGAGGCAGCTACGAGACTACGCAGCCCGCGGGTGCTGGGATGCTCAGGTAAATCAGCATGTACTTATCCTTTACTGCGGTTAATAATAATCCCATTACGGGGGTGTTGTGTTCAGACTCCAGTGAACCAAATAAAGATTTGATTGCATTAGGAAAATTAAAAAAAAATATCTCTCCCTTTGACTTTGCAAGCCCACATTTTAGTTGATATTCTGTTTTTTTTGTTTTTCTTTTTTTTTTAGTCTTTGAGTTTCCAAGTTCAGTTGGAATTGGTAGAAATCTAACCCCAACTACCTGTAGAGGAACA